TTTCCCCAATACTGGGGCTGGAGAAAATCCTATGGGGATGTTAACAATATTGCTTTGTGTCAAGGCAGAGCCCAAGGACTGGGCAAGATCAGAGTAGGATATCACAGGGAGGAGATAGGGCTATTTTCAGTTTGCAGACAGAGAACAGGAAAGCAAAATTCCAAGGCAACAAAAGCAGATTCCAGAGATGCTGGAGATTGGGTAATAAATCAGAAATAAAGTTCAAAACAAAGTGAAGACAGAGGTTGAAGAAACAAACAGGGCTGTTCTGTCTAGCTTGGGTACAAGTTTCCTAGGACACAGACAAATTACTCAGCCAGACAACCATATAATGGAGGCAAGAAGAAAACAATGTTAAGAGTGAATAACATAAGAAAGAGGTGTTTCTCCATGCAATCACTTCACTGGGGGAGAAGGATGCCTCATATGGATTTATGGGAATGTCCAAGCAGGTGGTCAAAGCAAGACCTGAGTGAGATTCGAAAACTAACACTAGGCCAGCATCAAGGATATCAATCTACGAGTTGCAGATTCTTTGGCAAGGGTAACTTGATGCTGAGACAAAGAGCCTTAAATTAGAAGTCCTGAAAGTCTCCCTGATTCCTATCAAGTTTTCCTAAAGCCAAGACCAGGACTGAGCTATAGGTGGATGTCAGGTAGCTTTAGCTGTAGAGAGGCAAGTGATGCTGGCATCTGGAGACATCATAAAGAAACCTAGTTTTGGTTCTCTGTTAGGGATATTAGTTGAGGATTTTTCCAATATATATCCCTTTTTCCTTTTTCTGTGGGCTCCCAATTTTTCTCTTTGAAGATCCATATGGTTCCATGGACACTGACTACGTCATTGCCTTTAAAAATAAAGGGAACCTATGCTAGCCATTAAGCCACTTCCATATCTTTGGCCAATAAATAGGCATGTGATATGAGCTGGCCCATCTGAAGTGGATTCAGTACTTTACTGGAAATGTTGGGACAAAGCATCTCACACTTCCCTGCTAGATGTGAATGAAGAAGCAAGCCACTCTGGACCTCCTGGCAGGCCATTAGGATCGTAGGGGAGTTATTGAGGCAGTAATGACAGGGAAGCACTGATGAGAACTGGAGAGGCAGAAATGGGATTAAACTGTATCATTTACATTTGATACAGTTAACTCCTCCCTCCATCTTAACATACTTTCTTCAGCATGTTTTCAGGATACCCCTCTCCCGGTTTTCCTGCTCCCTCAGTAACTGGTCCTTCTCCGTCTCCTCTCTGGATCCTCCTTCGAGATTTTAAAATATGATGGCAGGCACCATGGCCTAAGCATGAACTAATACTCCAGGCCTCTTCTCTTGCTTTCTACTTTCCAGCCACATGGGACCCTGGCCAGTTTCCTCAGTGCCTTTCCACTTCCTATACCCTCCACGCAGAAGACACTTCCCCCATCGTGGAATGCACTTTCCTATTCCCTCGTTATGAAACACACTTCTCCCATCATGGGGAAATACCTCCTGCTCTCGCTGTCCTTTCTGAACATCATATATACATAGTAGTTCCCATCACTCCAATACTCTGAAATATTTTTCTCCTTAGCACTTATCACTGCTACTTAGCATATGTATTTCTTCATTGTCTGTCTCTCGCCACCCCATATGTAAGTTCCAAGAAATCAAAGACTGGCTGTTTTGATCACTGCTATATTTCAAGTGCCTAGAACAGTACCTGGAACATTGTGGGTACTCACCAAATCTTTTTCAAATAAATAAATTAATAAATGCATGAATCATTTGAACTGCCAAAGTAAAACTTCCCAGAAGCCATAATTACCTATAGATTTTTCTTCAGTCATTTAAACTAGGAATTGAAGCTGGTTGAATTGTGTTTTCCATTAAAAACAAAAACAAAAACAAAAGCATTTTAGCTGATATGCTTCCCAATGGATTTTTAGTAAACAATAAGGTGAATTTGTTGTTTAAAATAAAATATTTATTGTTCTAAACTCACTTGAGAATGCAGAAGTTCCCAAGTCCCAGGCAACTTCTACCTGTTACCTAATGTTTCCAACTAATGGTGTGAAGGCTCCATGAAAGCAAGGATCTCATCTAAATCATTCATGTTTTAGTCTAAGTGCTTCTCTTACAGTGGGTGCCTAAGACATTTGTGGGATTTAAACACACTCTGTTAATGACACTCAATACAACAAGATTTGAATCTTGTATCTTCCTAGACCTAGGATTTGGTGTGAAGAATATTTTTTTTTTCAGCTTTGGATTCATTATCTGAAAAATAGAAACAAAAATACCTTGTTAACTGGGTTGTTCCTAGTAAATATTGAAAAATCATTAATAAGCATTAAACTGTGCTGGGATTCCAGTGTTTCCATTTCTTCCCATGTTTATGCCTTTGCACATTAACAGGAATTGAGAACTAAAGTAGACATCTCGCACTAGGATAATAGGAAAGACTCTCACTATGAGACTGAAAAGACGTTGGATGTTGAATCACCCAGTTGGGCTGTCTACACTAATAGATTCACTGGATTCACAGCTCTCCACCTCATATGTGTGGGTGAACCTCAGGTGATCTCACTGATTATATGCCACCTATTTTCTCCCCCAAGATTTTAAGCCTAAGGGTGATATGATTAGATGAGATTGCATGAGAGAAATTTCTCCAATGTTTTGGTGTAAATTTTATGTTGTGAAATACACTGCTGCAGCCACTTGCAAATACGGAGATGTCAGTTGCATAAGCTGTGCAATACACGTATGTGCTATGCCACTGAGCAGATGACTAAAGCTCAGAAGTGTAATTGATCAAGCAGAATATTTATTGCAGGAGTGCTGAGCTTTCTACAATAAATGTACTCATGAAAGGTTGTATGTAAATCAAATGACTGCAAATTGAATAATTTAAAAGGCATTAGGGGAGCTTATTACTTAAATAAATCCCCATGTGACTTTTCACATCTAAGAATCCTTTTGTAATGCAAAGTATTTATCTTTTTATTTAAATATCAATTTTTTACATATTAAGTTTTCTTAAATTGAAGTACACCTATAATACAGGAAAAAAGCAACAACTGATTCAGGGCTGCTGTGCCTACTGTTTCCTCTGCTTTGAGCTTTCTAACTGTTGTACCAGGAATTGAGTATAGGAGTGCTGGACTATTGATTCAGCTTCATAGATTCTCATGTCCTGGAGCATCCAAAGGCCTGGGTCATCCATTCAAGAGCATATTTATCTGTGTATGTTCAATTACTCCAATGTTCAATACAAATATTTTCTATCTGAAAAGGTCAGCAAGTGACAGCTCTAAATTCCTTCTGGTAGCATTTTTTGTTTGTTTTTTATCTTAAAGACTCTCGCTGATCTTCCTCACTTGCTTCCTTACTGTCTTTTCATTCTCTCTTCTTTAAAACATGCTTAATCAGGCTGAGCGCGGCCATGCCTGTAATCCCTGCACTTTGGGAGGCCGAGGCGGGCGGATCACAAGGTCAGGAGATTGAGACCATCCACGTCAACATGGTGAAATCCCGCCTCTACTAAAAATACAAAAATTAGCTGGGCGTGGTGGTGTGCACCTGTAGTCCCAGCTACTTTGGGAGGCTGAGGCAGGAGAATTGCTTGAACCCAGGAAGCAGAGTTTGCAGTGAGCCGAGATCATGCCATTGCACTCCAGCGTGGGCAACAAGAGCGAAAATCCGTCTAAAAAAAAAAATCAGTATTACTAACTGCATATCACCTACGCATCCTAGTTAAACATCTGTCTTGCTCACTAAACTGTAAGCATTGAGAATGGCAGTTTTGCTTACCACTGTTTACTCAGTGCCTGCCATATTGCCTGGCATAGAATAAGTACTTAGTCAATACTGGCTGAGGGATTGAATGAGTGAGGAAATTAATAGATGGATGGAAGTTAGCCAGTTCCCATTTACTTAGCATCCTTTGGCAATGGCCCTAACTGATCCAGCTGTGAGCGATCCCTCCAGCCTCTTTCCATTCTGCATCTCTCTCCATTTGTTTCAACCGCATTGGTTTCTCGCTGATCACAACTGATAGGTGAAGCACATCAGTCCTTCCCTGGGCTTGCCGTGTCCTTCAGCTGGAGTGTCCTCGCTCATACTAGCATAGTGTACTCCTTCCCATTATTTGGGTGTCTACACAAACATATGTTCTCAGAGAGGACTTCCTGGACTCCCCATTTAAAATAGCAGCTCTCCACACACCTCTTAGACATTTATTTGTTTCATAGTACTTATAACTGAACTGTATATATATACTTAGGTATTTATTGGCCGTATCAGACCCTCCCTGTAGAATCCAAGAGGTCAGAGACATTGTCTGTCATAGTCACCATTGAATGAATAAGAACCACACAAGACACAGCAAAGATACTGGATAGAGATTATTGATAAAAGGAAGAAATGCATTATCTCTTTCTTTTCCTTTTTTTTTTTTTGTTGTTGTTAGTTACATTAGTATTATCCCCCAGTAATTGTAATAAAACCTTCTTTTAACTTAACCTTAATAGAACTTTATAAAGTACTTCAATCATAGTATCTTTTTACTTATTTGTATGCTTAAAGTGGCACTGTCCTGTATCACAGAATGTATCTTTAATGGGCTAAAAACTGTGAAGATATTAGAATCATATCTCATCAACCATAGCCCTATATGAAAGACGGGCTTTATATACTTTTGTTGAATTATATACTTTTTCCCACATTTTTGAAGATTTACTATATTTTATTTGATTTTGTTACATCTGCCATATAGAATTATATCAAATTCTATTTGATATAATCAGTCAGTAATATTAAGTAATAAATAAAATGTAATTTTCTTTGAGCATTTTGTGGGATTCTAATATTCCAAGGTACAAAAACAATTATTTTAAAAAACAAATATTAGTATGCTTTTGGTGACATAGACAACCTACATTTTATGACCAAGACATTATCACTTAAAGCTTATATTGGAAATAGTTTTAACAGTCCTTTTTCTCTTTGGCTTTCAGGTATTTGACTATGATTTTGGACTACAGGATGACTTTATGGGCTCAGCCTTTCTGGATCTGGCACAATTGGAATTAAACAGGTTAGCTTTTGAACTATTGTAATATCGCCACCCTTTGTGATGCAGTGGACTTGTGTAACAGAAAATGTCAGCTGGTCTGAGGACTAGTTCTGCCATTTATTGCGGTGAACCTTCCAGTTAGTCAGCATTTCTCAAATCCATCTTCCTTACTTATCCAATGGAAAGAATAGCATCTTCCCTGACTACCTTATTCAACAACTCTTCAACAGAAAAATTCTTGGATACCTGCTCTGTTCCACAGTACTGTGCTAAGCACCAGGAATCTGGAGATAAAAGACCCATTCTATCCTTTCACATTGCCCATGTGGTTGTAGTGGGGTGTAAAAAAAAGATTATGCATGTTAATCATAGTTATTAAGAATTAGACTACTTTATATAAAATACAGTGTGTGCACTTTGCTTCAGAAATGGCAAGTCTCTTGTTACTTGAGCCACAGTAGAATCTGGTTTTGCCATTGCCAGATTACCAAGGAATGCTCCTAAGGTAGAGGCAGGTTGCTTGTTTGCTCAGTTACATTATTATCATTGCTTCCCTAGTTGCGAAGTTATTATTGTTACTAATATTAGTTAATATTGTTACTAATATTAATCGTTTCTTATACCTAATAATGGGCTTAAATTTTTCAAAGTAAATTTCAACATAGGAACTAAGAATTGATTTGTCCTACAGAATAAAAAAATACCATTAGAAAAGATCATGCGTGCTGAAATAGGTTGCAAAGAAAGCAGTGAAACTTTCCTTGATGGTTTTAAGAAGGAATTCCTCGCTGTTTTGGATGATTGTGTTACATCATGCAGCAGAGATGGTGGAAAACAGAAAAACAAAGTAATGAGCCAGATCACTACTTTCTATTTCTGTAAACGTAGATGACTAGAGAAATATAAAGTGTAGAACTCCCTTAGGCATTACAATCAGTTTAGTTTGAGTACAGTGGCTTATTGGTCTTCCGATAGTCATTGTTGCCTCGGACTGGACAGAAGAGCAGCCTTTTCCATACTTTTTCTCTAAGTCCTCCATTCCAGCCTACAGCCTAGCACACACTGTAAGACATCCCCTACAGTCGCTGCAGCTGTAGGACGTCCCCTAAATGGTGTTGCATGGAATTGATTATCTTGAAAACTGAGCTCAGTCTAAAACAGACTGCTATTCTTCTCTAAAGGCCAGAAGTACTTTCTCTGAGACTTCTGTGTAAGGATATGGAAATGACTAGACTTAATCCCAAAGCGTAAATTTATCTTGTTTCCTATTAAAGATAAATCATTGGTGAAAAATAATTTTAAATGGTGACGGTTCGGAATAATTTCAGAAATTAAGAGATTATACACGAGCAGTTGGAGTGTTTTGCCACATTACATATTTTCTGTATTTCTCTAGCAGTTTTCTCTCCTCAAAACCACATAAACATCTCATTACTAGTTTCTAAAATAATGTATTTGTGTATGCTATTTTATTCTAAATATAAATCAACAGTCTCTAAGCATAGAAAACATAATAATTGTCATATAAATATTTATGTCACACTATATAATACATTAAGATATCTCTGAAAAAATAATACATCATAAAGCAGTTGTAAATGTTCTTATATCTTTATCATATAATCATTAAAAGATGTAATGAAGTTTTTTCTATTAATTTTTACATGTAATCATTACATGAAAATGAACTAAATCAGACTGTAACCCCATATGTGTATTTAGTGTTTGTGTGTGTGTGTGTGTATATATATTTATGTGTGTATACGTATGTATACGTATATGTGTATATATACACAAACATGCCTGTGTGCATGCACGACGCTGCTCTCTGGGCTCAGAGAACATAGAAAGGGAACCGGTAGGGCTCTCAACAGGGTCGTAGTTTCTTGGCCTTTGCAACCACTTTCTGGAAACTTCATGGATTTAGAAAGCAGAAATTCATCGGGTGAATTCAGATCCACACATAGTTTATTGGATAACTTAATAAACTGATAGGATTTTAATAACAAAAATTGTCCCAAAAAAGTAAAGGAAGACAAAATTGCTTTTGATCTTAAAATAATAAAGTGTTAATAAAAATATATTTGGCTTATTCTTTTAATGACTGTTTAAAATCTAAATATTTTCTATCACAGGCCCACCGAGGTGACCCTCACTCTGAAAGATCCTCATTATCCTGACCACGATCTTGGAATCATTTTGCTGTCAGTCATCCTTACCCCTAAAGAAGGAGAGTCCAGGGATGTGGTAAGTTCCCTCACAGCCTAGTAGGAGCCCTTTCTTCTTCTCTCTTGTTTGAATGCTGTGAGCCTTTCTTTGGACCCAGATACAATAATAAAGAGAAGCTGCCTATGAAAATATGCCCTGTTCTTTGTTTCTGTGAGTATCCTAGGTATCACTCATCCATGCTTATTGTATCTTTTCAACTCTAATTTCCTGTTCCGCCCTTGAGATCAGAACCTCTTGTTGTAAATAAGAAACAGATTTGAATTTTTGTTTTAATTTTATTTCTCAATTTCAGACATGTTATATTATAGACAAATATTAGTATTTATTTGGGGAATATATTTATTAGTAAATTGAATACTTGGATTTCCACATTAAGGTATCCAGACCCTGCTATTTTGACTGTATTGTCAGGTGTACCATAACACAGAAAATGAGGTGAAATTATAACAGAGTTTCTGCTTTCTGGTATTTGTTTAGTGAATGATAAGTGAGTACTTTTCATCTTCTTGATGGGCTTCCATATTGGTATTACCCATTTTTTAGCACTAGCTGTCTGTACTTACTTGCACACCATGCTGCTATGAGAAACTGACAAGGGATACAGAGGAGCCAATTACTCCCCCACCGTTGAAGTGACACTAAAAAAATGTCAGGCTTGACCCTCATCAGTATGCTTGCTAGTGTACTTTCTTTCACAATTTGCCAGAGACTACTTATTAGACTCAGTGGTCTTTCATGTGCCTCAGAACAATTCTAACTAGCTCTGATTGTAACACATTTTTGTAGTAGGCATAATTTTTTTAGGCAAGCCCAAAAACTCTATATCAGCATCTATGTATTGCTGTCCTAAAATAATGCATGATTAAAGTTGGTTATAGATTGTCTGCTGGAAAGGTATTGTTGGCATTTCCCCCTAGACTGTAGGTAAAAATGGTGAATTACAACTTCAAATTTGGAAATCCTTTAAACTTATTGAAAACTTCACTCTTTCAAGAAATATTTCTCTTCATCCTTTTTAGAAGTTTAATGATGAACGCATGCATTTATATATAATATTTGCTAAATTGGGTTAAGTATCTATACTTCATTCACTGAGGAAGAAATATCTTTTTTTAAATAAGAATTACCAGATAATAATACCTAGCGTGAGAACTTGACTTGGTAAAATTATATATGTATGTGTGCACATGCACCCTTGTGCAGAAGGGTGGGTGAGAAACAATTTTTACAAAAAAAATATTTAGAAATGAAAGCCCATTATCTTAGAAGTCACTACTTCAGAAGACTTTATTTTACCCAGCACAAGCCAAGAAGTATACCCTAGCTGGCTAATCCATACATAGATATCAATTAGAAATGTTCATTTTGTGTTTTATTCAAATGATTCTAGCATTCACCAAGAATCTACTATAAGCCAGCTCCTGTGCTAGACACTTAGGATGCAATAGAACTAGGAATCAATTAGTTGCTGATGGAAACAACCATTTTAAATGCTGTGAAAAAGAGGTACATGTTGCTGAGAGAACAAATATAGGAAATTTTTTTACTAGCCAGGGGTTAAGATTTCTCTAAGGAAGTCAATAAGAGCTGAGGTATGAAGTATCAATAGGCCTTAATAAACAAAAACCAGGACGAGAGGAAGTATTTAAAGCAGAGGAGACGACATACATAAAGGCCGTGTGACAAGAGGAACCATGTCGCATTCCAAGAATTGAAAACCTACTGGAGTTTAGAGAAGGTGGAAGCAAAGAGAGTGTGGGTGATCAAAGTGCAGGTGGAAGGGCGATGCCCACACTGTGTAGAACTCATTGGCCATGTTAAGGTTTGGGTCTTTCCCCATAAAAACTGTGGAGAGCCATTGAAAGGTCTATAAATCAAAAGCAGCAGAATCATATTTGCCTTTTGAAAATATCTTTGTGGCTGCATTGGAGAAAACAGATTGAAGGGGTAAGAATGGATACCTGGAGACCAGTTAGGAGGCCATGGCAAAAATCCAGGTGAAAGATGATGGAGATTTGGATTAGAGCTGTCAGAGGTACGAGATGGAGGGAAATTGGCAGGTTTACCTATAGAAGGTAAAATCAACAAGATAGAATATGCTTGTGCTGGGGTTCTTTGTTATTTTAATGAAGGATAGGACTTCATAAATCAGGATACCTAAGTGCCAGAGATCCTGTGTATTCCCAAACCATCTAAGCTTGGAATATTCCTGGAGGTTGGACTGATATAGCAGCAATTGTGGTTATTTGGGTGATTTGATAATGTATAGTCAGCTGAATTTTATCTTAAAGGGATGTTTATTAAATACTCTAGCATTAAACTGGGGGTTTGAAGAAGCAAGTTAATATCAGGAAACCTTACGATGAAGCTGCTGGGTTGTTCTAAATTACACAGAAATATATGTCAGCACAGGCAAAGTAGTTTCCAACACTACTTTTTCTTCAACATCCCCTGTAAAAAATCCTTTAATCTCTAGGATTGCTCAAAAAAAATTATTTAAAAATATGACAGTGCCTGGGAGCTGATCATCAGTAACTTATCAAATACAAATAGGGAAGAAAATAGGTGGGTTACATGAAAGCAGCTATACATCAAAAATCTGATTTTCTTCATCTTCTTTTCTTCCTTTTCCTTTCTCTTCATCATATCTTTTCAGCCACATTCACCCTTACCAGAAGAAGTTCCTCCTGAAATCCTCATGCTGTTTTCTTGATTCAGATCCCTTTGACTACCCCCAGATTATTTGAAATAAATCCTTCCAAAGTTATTTTTCATCTCAAAAAGGTTTTTTTTGTTTTGTTTTTTGTTTTTTGTTTTTTTGCATTCATTGCCTTACCTCATGCCTTCTTCTTTCCAAGTTCTAGAGAGCACTGCATTCATTCTGCTACATTAAGTGGGAAATGGTGTCTTCTCTCCTTTTGTCTGTCATGGACTCTTTTATGGCTTCTTTCTTCATCAGAGAAGCAAGTGGCTCATCCAGGGCTCAGAAAAGTCACAATGATTGAATTTGTTTCAGAGCCAGCCTCTGGCTGGGGAACATCCTTATACTTCCCATCCTGACCTCAGTCACCACGGAGGAGGCAGAGAGAAGGGTAACCAGTGTGGCTATCCTGGCTCATCCTCATGGGTGCAATTAATAGCCAAGGCATGGGCTTGCTTGTAGAGAAACAAGCAGTGTCAGAGGAAGGGGTAGAAAGGAGGGAAGGGAGAAAGATTCCCCCACTGGAAATTCTGTTGGGATTCAGTATCCTAGCTATTCTGGTATACTAGATTTAAATCTGGGTTTCTAAACATATGCTGTACATTATGAACATGCCCAACAAACACATAAAAAGTGGCTTTTCTTCTGTGGTTGTTCTACATTGCAGTTCTGCGACTATTTTATTAAGCTCTCTAAAACTAGTGCTTATATTTACAAAACTGTTTGGGTTTTGAAACTCTAAATAAGAACCATTTGTAGGCATCTATGTAAAACAAAATACTTACTGATCATTTACTAAGCATTATCTTAAGCTTTATAACTCCCTCATTATTATTCTTCTAAGTGTTAGGTGACTTGTCGCTGTTTCTCTAATTAAATTGAAACTCCTGGTGAGAAACTTTAAGGCTCCCCAACAAACAATCTATGTTCCCTTACTGTAACTTCTGTCCCAGCCCTACAAACTCCTTGACATTTCATCTTCTCTCAAGTCCAAGCTTTCTTCAGTGTTACTTGTCCTACCTAAAGTATGCCTATACTTCACCTCACCTCCATCCTATATCCTATCACTCATAGGAGGGGATATATATATATATATATATATATATATATATATATATGATGACTTTCTTATGATGACTTCTTGAAAGGACCAAGGGAGGGTATATGGTTTTTTTCTTTTCTCAATATTCAAATCCCTGAGGTTGTCACAAACAATATCAACTCATGATTAAATAATGATTTAATTTTCTTTTGTAAGTTCTTAAAATTAGTGTATTAATGATAATCTGCTTGAAATCAAGATTTATTGCTCTTCCTATGGAATTCTAATGATGACAATAAATTATAAACCCATCATTGTATTTTCTTCATTCTGTAACATGTCAACTATCAGCTTATAATTTCTCTGGGCTACATTTGAAGTTTCTTGATTAAAAACAATCAGAGATCCTATATATCTTCAAGTTAAATTTTCACATATCTAAAAAAACATAGCATACTGCTGCTATGAAGATGGCATGCTGAACTTTCACAAATTATTCAGAAACAAATTTTATTTAGAGAAATTTAAGCTAAAAATGCAGCAAACCAGAAATCAGTTACTGAATGTTTCACAATCCCCAAAAATGAAAATTATGTAAGAAAGGAATACAGGCAAATTTTACATCGACCCTCACAGAGCAAAATTACAAGAAGAGTTCTGTTCTCTTTGATTACTAGCTCAGAAATAATTTACTTCAAGCTTTTAGCACTGAAGATGTTGTCCAAAAACCACATGTTTATTCTTATGCCGGTATTTATAAAACTTTATAAAGCTAAATATTTTATATGTATTTAAATGGAGAATGAAAGAGATGTGTTTCAAGAGCCTTTTACAGATAAATCCTAACAATCAAATAGGAATAGAACATTAATGTGAATAAAATGCCACACAAAAGTAGAAAGAAATGAATAACTGGAAATACAGAGTCCTTAGCATTATAAAGTGGTAAGATTTCTAAAACAGTCATCTTGTGAGTTTTTTATGCACTGTTCATAGTAACAATACAGTCCATGAATAATGCAGTTGGAATGATTTCTCCTTGTGTGGATTGCCAGTTCTAGAAATCAGTACAAGTGAAGAATGAGTTGAAAAACCAATCAGCCTACTGAATCTCCTAATCCTCTAAAACATGCACTGTCTAATTGCAGTGATTGGTATTTCATAGGTGCCATATCAAAATCTTCTCCGTTGATGTCATGATGGAGTCTTAAAAAAAAAAAAAATTCCAGACGTGAACAGACACATATATATTTCTTTAAGTTTCCAGCATTGTGTGTACAAGAAGCCAAGACTTCCATGGGGGGCATGCTGATGAGTTGCATGGCACAATTGTCATTTCTGTTTTGACTGCATGTCCTGTTTTTGAACCTGTAAAAGTGTGTAGTGCATATATGTGTGTCCTATATATGCCAATTCGTCTGATAGTGTGTTTGAGTTCTTTCTGGCTCTTTTTCTAGCAGAGTTCAATCCACAGCTTTCTTCATTGGAGAATTTGTGAAATAAAAGTGAGTTAATTTGTGTTACACACTCTCTTAAATAATCTAGACCTACAAATTGCTTACCTAAGGCTAAAAATTAGAAAATTCAAAGAAACATATGAATGACCTTAGTTGGCCTTTGATAAGTTAAAAAAAGAAAAAAAAACTTCTTTATCTTGGTTTAGTTTTGATATTCTTCAGAATTATTACACGGCCAACATTTGAAGAAATATCTACCTATAAAAAATTGAATATATGTATGTTTTATAAGATGTATGTTACTACATTATCTAATTATTCTGTGATTTTTTAATGTACAGTAGCTATATAATTACCTTAAAAATTGCTACAACAAAAGATAAAAATTAAAAAATGGATTGTGGTAAGTCTTTTAAAAATAATCACTTCTGCAGCTCTATCACAAGCATATTTTTATGCTACTTCATTCCTTTTACTGGCTTCAAGGAAGCTGAGCTGCTAATGAAGAATTTGAATTGTACTATAATAATATCAGCTGATAATCCTTTCAAAAATTAATTCATATGTTTCTCAGCTGAAGTTAAGATCATAGAGCAAAAAATAAATCTTATTTTTTTATAGTTTGCTTCATCTTCTATCTTTAACAATCCCCAATCCTTCTTCTCTAACATGTCTCACAGATAGCAAAGAAAACATTATTAATAGTATACCTATTAAATTAATTTTCTTTTTAACTTTTCTACTCTTTTCAGTTTTGTTGACTTGACCTCAACCCAACTATCTAAAAGAAAAAGGGATTTGGAAGTGAGATACTTCAACCCATTGCTTTGCTAGTAGATTTGGCTCAAGAGACAGAAATGTCATAAAATCTAGGGCCATTTTGAGTGTCACTGGATATAGTCTTAGAACTTTAGATACTGAATTAGGAAAATAATGAATGGGTCCTCATAACTTCTAAATCTTTCATATTTATACTTAGGGTAATCACTGATTTTTTACTGTATCAGTTTCTCAAGCTGAAAAATAAAACCATGCCACCTGCTTATAAAGCTGATTTGGAGAGACAGGAAAAATACTCTATATTTTGTTTTACATATAGAAGGTTAATTTTTTGTGGTGCTTGTGCGTCAGGGGTTGTGACTTTGTGGAATCCTTGTAACATTGACTAGTGTTGCCATGAGATTTCACTCTTTCTAATGTTCTAAGGCCCCTTTTCATAGCATAACATTTCTTATATAATAGAATTTTATATTGTAAGATTTCTAGATGCTAGATGATGATGATAAATGACCATGAATCAATAGATTTTACTTTTTTGTGTATCTTAATTGTTCTTGATTTAATTGACTCAAAATATTGTCTCTAGGAAATACCATTCTTTGTCCATTGAAACTGCTTGGTGAGAAAATTGAGCATTTATTATCCAACTCTTATGGGGCAGTTTTCATAGTACAACATACCACTTAAGTATTTGATTTCCAGCTGCCTTTTGGTGATGATGGAGGAGGTGGTGGTGGTGGTAGTGGTGATGATGATACTGATGATAATAAGTCATTTACCATCAAAATTAAAGATTTATTACATGTTTCCCTGGACGGCCATCTCTACAACCCAGTGCTGGGATTTGTTGCTTCAAAATGAATTGGGCATTAGTACTTTGAAAACATAAAGTATTTCTATAATAGTATTTGATAACAGTGCTTTGCACTTTCCTGAATTAAAAAAAAGAGGGGTGATGGGGAATCATTCTAACCTTAGGAAATCTATTACTCTTTTATGTTTTGGCCAACATTTAACACAGACTGTATGTAGAGAAAATATACCCTGTAAGACCACTTCCTATAGAAAAGAGGAATATATAATTATCTTTGAAAATGTTATGCTAGACTTAGTTTTTACCCTAGAATGTATAAATCCATTCGTGTGGTTTAGGTTAAAGGTTACCCTCATCTTGTATTAAAATCTTTTCATTTTTGTGTTCTTCTAATCCATGAGTAGTTTCTGACATGGTCCTTTTTTTATGGTGAATCCTCCTGAAACAGATACAGTTCTTAAAGTGCACGTTCCTGATATACAAATATGGCAGGCACTTTAAGCTCTATTCTTTGCCCTGAGTATTTCCTATACTCTACCTCATCTGCTTAATAGTAAAGCAAAGAGAGAGGAAAGAAGTTAATCAGGAAGGTTAATACTTCAGTGTTCATTGAGAAATTTTTTAAAGTAAAGAGAGGAAATAAAAAAATTGTTGGGCTTTTATGATTTAGTTTATTCAAGACATTAATGATCTTGGGGATACATTATGAAGCTCTAAAACCTTAATTAAAAGTTTTGGCCATATATATTTCTTAGTATAACACTAACTAGTTTAATAAAGAATATGCTTTCACTAAACATTTAGCAGGAAAATGCACCAGTAGCCGTCACAGTATGCAGCATTTGTTTTCAGTTGAAAGCATTCTTAGACCCTGATGTAGTTAAAGATTAACTGGGAGCAGAGACAGTTCTACGATACCACCAAAGCAAAAGACTTTGAAAGTGTTTGAAGAGAAAAATTATTAGATACCTGATCAAGTCATGTACATCCTCAACCTCCACCACCAAAAGGAGCCATTGGAAATCATGAGACTCAATGTGGCTTTTTTAGTCAATAAAGACATCCCAAATGTTCCATTCTTTTAAAAATATACTGTCCCATTTTTTTTTACAAAGGAATAAATCAAATGAACTCGCACCAGAAAGACTGCTGGAATGTTAAAGTTGTTTCTCTAGTTGTGTGTGTGTGAAAAACAAGTTTCGTCTTGTATACTTGTTGCCGGGAACTGCTTGCTGTTTTAAGGGCTAATAAATGTTTCCGCTGAAAAACAACTGGCTCCCCTATTCTGTACTTGAGTGAAAAGATAATGAAAATGCTTTATTTTATTTACAGACAATGCTAATGAGGAAGAGTTGGAAAAGATCAAGTAAGGTAATGCTTAGCTTGTGATCTTTCAGCTTTTCTTGTTGAGAAGAATTATCATCTGCTTTCCCAGATCTCTCTCATATCTCTTCAAAGTATGCCACCAGATTTCATACTATTCAATTGTTACTTTTCCCCATAAATTTAAGCAAACCATCTGATGTTTTTAAAATAGAAATCATACTGATCAGTAGCTTCAAACCATCCTATCACTATTCTCTGGTCACTTCTCAACATCATTCTCAGCATCTGGTCTCGACTATTTATGCAACAGGGTCTAGAAAATTGCTTTGCACCAGGAATAAAATGATAAGGCTAGGGGAGGGACAACTCCAGACAGAAGAAAGATTTCCACAAGTTATTTTATTTTTGCGAGGGGAGGGATTCACAGAAAATTGGTATGAGGCTTTCTAAACTGAGAAATTCCTGTATAATTACATCTTTGGAATGTAAAATAAGAATAATTCTTTTTTTTTCCTCATTGTTTCTCCTCACTTTAAGAAATAAAGTGAGAGGAGTTTATGGTTCCTGTAACTTACTAAGCCCTGGCTCTTTTGCAACTTGTGAGATATGCAAAATATAAACTAAGATCTTAATTTGCTCAGTGGTGCTGCCACTGTTGGATACAGAAAGATATTAAGATGAAACAACTTTTGTAAGAATATATCTTGAAATAAATCAAAAGATTTTACTTGTAAAAATTTTGTCTGCTCAAATTTCTACTTAGAGTCAGTATTTCTTTTTAATAGTGACTAATTTTTTTAGACCCTGGAACATGACAGTCTTTTTCCTTCCATTCTGATTGAATCATGCTTTTACTTAAACTTCTATTTAATTTTGTCGTTTTTATTATTGTGAGTTAAAAATATATATCAAAATGTTTTTATATTTATGGTAATGACTTAATCTGTTTGAACAAGTATCTCTTAGTGTACACAAGAATTCTTGTGGCATTAATGACCTGTACACAAGAATTCTTGTGGCATTAATGACCAAAGAATAAGTTGACTGACCAAAAAGTCAGGGCTCCCATTAAAAGTCACCTTTATTATTTTAATAAAATGAAAAACACTTATTAAGGAAGGTTGCTGAATATTTCTGACTTAATGTTCTCTGTGATTTTTACTAATCAAAATAAAGTTTCAAGAGGTTTTGAATAAATATTTGCACTGTTTATATTTGTATTACTCTTTTTCCTTTGTAATTATACTTTAAAGTTATATCAAAAGTGTATATATTTTTTAAATTTATATAATTTGATATATTTATGTACAAAATATGACAATCCATCAATATGTGGCAATATTCTCTCAGATGTATTTAACATGTAATACTAGAACAGGATACTATATAATATTTAGTGTTAATTAGTGGGAATAATCTGTTTTATTGTATAAAAGAAAGAATAGAAATGAAGATTCTGCCTGCCATGGTGGCTCACACCTGTAATCCCAGCATTTTGGGAGGCTGAGGTGGGCAGATTACTTGAGGTCAGGAGTTCGAGACTAGCCTGGCCAGCATGGTGAAACCTCGACTCTGCTAAAAATGCAAAAAGTAACTGGGCGTGGTGGCATATGCCTATAATTCCAGCTGTTTGGGAGGCTGAGGCTAGAGGATCGCTTAAACCCAGGAGGTGGAGGTTGCAGTGAACGGAGATCATGCCACTTCACTCCAGTCTAGGCAACAGAGTGAGACTCTGTCTCTATAATAATAATAATAATAATACTTCTTTAAAAACTAAATTAAATTTATATTTAAATGTAAATATAACTTTAAGAATAAATTAAGTAAAAATATATCTACATATTTTTGTTCCATATAAAAAAATATAAAATGAAAAATATCTACCCTCTACTGTTTTTAATATCTATAATTCTTAGAGTTTATATTTATTATTAGCAATCCATTTATGTATTCAAACGGATACATTTTTCAAGCTTCCAACTGAAGATACAGAATTCCTATGTCTAACAGCATTCGTTTGAGTACTTGGCAGATTATATTTAGTACAAGTGTTAACATAAGCTTTTGGGTTTTAGCCCAAGGGATTTTCAACTTTGAAAAATTTAATGGGGTTATTGAATACTAAGTGAAGTAAAATCAGTTCACTCATTTGACTTTTTTTCTGTGAGAACATACTGAACACCTGCTAATTCATTCAGATTTTTTACTGTACCCTAAAATATTTGCCATATTCATCCATATTAGTGTTACAAGAGCGTAATATTAAATTCAAAATCGGGGGAAAGTTTGACATTTCAATTACTAGGTAGTCCACCTTCCTTCACACACTCTGCTACGTTAAAACTGCTCCTTGAACCTTTTCGTCCAGTAAATTGTGCTACTTGGGAAACTAAGGGGTAAGGGACTAAACTATGTAGTTTTATAGGTTTTACTATGTGACTGTTTTATGGAAATGCATCTTTTCTAAATTTTTCAATCTTCTTAAAAATTCTTGTCTGAGTACAGATTTTTCATTTTTTATTTTTGGAAATAGGGTGTAATTTTATTTGCATTACATTTAAATATGGGTATTTCATATATGATATAACTATGTTCAAATTCAAAGGTAAATTTTTCATAAAAACACAGATTTTCTTCTTTGGAATCTTGATTTACAGAATGAGGTCTCCCGCATCTTTGTGGCAGGGCTTTGGCATGCAGCCTGTATTTGAGCATCAATGGTGAATATATCATCTAAGAAGTATAAATTTTGTAGCAAAGACTTAAAGATAGCCGGTGTCGTTGGAGATTCTCTCCAGTATGGAGTTTTTCTTCCTTGGTTTCTTTCAGAAGTGATGTAACTACAGAGGAAGAAAGGCTAAATTGACATAATTTTTGTTCTTTTAAATACACCCATCTCCCCTCTATACAATGTGAATCGGCTCATGGAACTTCTCGTTCCTTAAACATCTACTCATCATTTTCATCATCTTGACTTTCTGTGATGAGATTTCTTTACCTATTTTTGTAGTCATACTTCAGCCAATAATAGGCTCTTTTAATGGAAATCTCATTACTTGCGGCAGTCACATAATGTGGTGTTCTATTTACTATTGAAATCAGAAGAAAGATCACCAGCTTGAGGACAGGGGGATCCTAATTGCTGTTCAGGACTAACTTATTATTTGGTGGGGAGGAGGTAAATGTATTACCACTTAATAAGACATAGGGAAAAATACATCTAAACTTACCTCTGAAAGACAAGAATGTATAAAATATGCATTACATCTGAATGGCATGTAAACAAGTATATAGCTATCAATTCCATAATGTTGCCTCTTCTGGGGACAGAACCGTCCTTTAAAACACTCATTCTGGTTTTCCACAAGCACACTATCTATATTATGCTCATTTCGAATTCTGCCCAACACTTAGCTGTTATAGAATTACGTTATTTTAAGAAGAAAGGGACTGATGTCTCCCTAAACTTGGGCAACAGGATTATCCAGGTCAAAGAGTTACACTTATGTGACAAAATGTATTTTAGCAGAGAAATGGTAGTGCTTTGGATTATTGCGATATTTTATTCTTTAGAAGAAGCTTATCACTGATAATTTATTCTAAGTTTAAATTATTCATCAAGAAAGTTCATGAACTCAAAAGAGATGATTTATATGCATTTTGTGAATAAATGTTGTGGGTCCAAACCAAAAATTGAAAAAAATAATGAAATAATTGGCTCTATCAAACAATGTGCGGTTATGATTTTACACTACAGTGTGTGTGTGTGTGTGTGTGTGTGTGTGTGTGTGTGTGTGTTTCAACCTAGAATAATGAATTTGCCAATGGGTAAAGCTGAGATAATAAGCTTATGTGCTTTCAACAGATTGTTTTAATTATATGAGAAATATGATGATATAAAAACATACACATTGCAATTCATATCTCAACAATAGCAGTTTAGAATTGTTTTTCTTTAAGAAAAGTTCATCCTTTGAATATATACAGACTACTATGATGGTGTCTGATTATGATATCTTCTGTTACTTGACAGTTATATCCTTTTTTAATAATACATCTTTTTATAAAGATTTTATTATAACTGCTTAGCATAATTTTAATGAACTATAAAACACTTTATTCATTGGTTGAATGAAGCAATTTTTAATAAGACTTTTGGCACGGAGATCATTAATTTAAACTAGAGAACACTTTCAACTCTAAGTCTGCATGGCATAGTAGTTAAACCTGACACCTTGGATGACACATTAAAAATGCATCAGCAAAAACTCTAAGTGCTTTAATTTAAGTAACGGTGGAAAAGCAGATTAACACATCTTTAAGTATCTCACACAGTCAGACACGATGAAAAAAAGTCATTATTTAACAACTATCAGGTTCTTTCTACAAAAACGTTATATTCTGATAATAAATAGGCAATATTTTTAAAGCCGCAAAAATGAAAACTATTGGTCATAGACTTTCTTAACTCATATGAGTGACCAACATGGCTTTTCTTGGATGCCATATTTCTAATTATTATGCATATGTCTTTGAAAAAAAATGATGTACTCGATGTTTTTGAAGGAAACCTGAAATTATTTTAAAAGATTTTTACCTTGCCATTGTTTGTACTCCCAAATCTATATTATCTGGAAATGCTATAAAATCAACCTCATAATCAAGATTTCTGAGATTCCAAAATGCAACAATGAACAAATGGTAACTAGCAGCGAGTATTTCTGTTATCAAAGAGTATATTTTGACCCCACCTAACCAAAGTCCTGAAATTTGTAGCAAGTTTATTTAAAACAGAGATATTATAATGTCAGTCAATATTTGATTACCCCCACAAAATACATGAAGCCATAACTAAATTTTATGTTGAGATGGTTTTTTCTTGCTGTTTTGACAATATTTCCACAAAGGCATAAAATATGCTTTTTATGTATTATATTCATAGCTACAGAGATTTTCTGTGACAGTGGCATTACATTTATTTGACTGCTCTTGTTGACTTTCCTAAATGTTGTGGGTTCTTCTGGAGCATCTGGATGGATTGGCACAAAGTGGAAGGGCAATATGTAATGTCACGGAGAGGATGGATTCCACAATGCTTGTGTTTCAGGTCTAGAATGTTTATTGTGTAGTCACTGGGTGGCCTTCACTTTGGTGGCATGTGTTATCAAGTGAGTCGACCAATTTCTTAAGATTCTTCCTGGACCAATTAAAAGGAAAGAACTGATATAACTGGATTCCAGGGTAGCAGAACTGAGGGCTGCCGTGCAGATTACATGACCTTTTCATTTAACAAGATAGATAGATGGAAGGATGAATGAATGGATGGATGGATGGATAGACAGACAGACAGATATTACATTGAGTGGAACTGGGAGGAGATTTGTTGATTTTAAGGGACCCTAAACATATACAGTGAAATGTATACATTATACAATGTATAATTTTGTCAGGGTCCTGGCTCCAAAGCTCTGTTAACAGTTAATAACCTTAGTCAATATCATGAGGCATCTTTATTGATAGGATGGAAGCATCCAAGAGCCATGGCTTTGATGAGCAGTGATTGCATTCTGACCAGGAAAGTTTATGTAAATGATTTTCTTGTATATTTATTTATTTTTTAATCTCTTAAATGGCCACATAGTACTGATAAAAGGAAACTGGGTTTCTATGAAAGCATTCTTTTGTAATCGGGAATTCTAGCTGACGCGGCTCTTACATTTGAATCTCAGGCTTCACAGTTTCAAATTGATTGTGAAGGTTTTGAGTTTTGAAGGATTGCCAAGTAATTGTACGTGTTATGTTTAAAGCCCTGTACACATTAAGATGAATTTTAAAATATCATCGTTAATAAAAGCTTGTTGACTGATCCTTATTCCATCTGTTGAAAAAGTCTTTAAATATTTCTATGATTTATTTTGTGTAGAAGGCTGAAAAAAAATCATATTATATGCATTTGTTGGAAAAAAATTAACTGTCCTTTAGTTTTATTTCCCTGTGAAAAACATTTATCTTCCAGATTTTTTAGTCTAAAATCTGGTTAATATTTAGATTTGTAATTAGATATTTTTTCTTTAAAGAGAAATTTTCTTAATGTGTATTAGATTTTTAGAGGTAAAAATAGAAATAAATAAGATATTCCCAATGCATCCTTACCACTTTCATAAATTAGAAATCTTGGTAGAAACAGTTTAACAATTTATCATTCAGAATAACTTCAACAATTTTCCATTATCAATTAATATTTCTGTTTTTTGTTCTGTTTCCTTTTGCTAGTATTTTATACTTTTAGCAATTTTAAAATGTCACTTTGCCTCACTTAGCCTGTTGTCTTGATAAAGACTGAAGTGTAACTAAATGTCTACAACTGTACTTTTAGATAAGCTTTCTCTGGAATTCATGAATAGTTTAGCTACTTTTTCTTGTTCTCCATAATAAAATCACCACTTCTGTTTAGGACTCATTATGTAATGCCAGGTGTCTTCTTGTGGTTGTTGCTGTTGTTATTGTTATTATCATTAGACTCTAGTGAAAGAAAGGCTTTGGCTGGTCTGTTGTAAATTTTATACCCATGCAGAACAGTAAATGGCACAAGGGTCCACAAGAAATTAAATTATTCCCTCTGAAATAATGGCCTAAATTTACATGAGAATGTGGGTTGTAAAATGAAATATAAATTTTAGCTGATAAATAACAGAAGCAATTAAACATGGCATGAAAAGCACAGTCTGAGGACTTCAGTGGATCTAAATGTGGCTAATGTTTTTGTTTCTCAAATTTTAAAACAGAAACCTAAGTCCTAAATCTCGATCATCAAAATTCCCATCTCACCCTCAAAATCTTAAATGCTAACACAAAATCATAGAATAACCTAGGAAGTTGCAAAGGTGCTTCCTCTTTATCACAGTGTCAACTATTGATACTTTCCCATGACTGTCATCAGTTTCCCAAAACTTTATCATAACTGACACCTAGACACAGAATGCAAAGCTTTAACATTTAAGGGAGTAATTTAGATGTTTTATTTAAAACTGAGTAGCTATTTTTTTATTTCCCAACATTGAATTGGTTTCCTTCATAAAGGTCTGAGGATTAAGTAATAAACTATCCTACTTGAGTTCATTGCATTGCTTTTACCCCAATAGTCAGCTCTCTCTCTATATTCATTTCTTTTTAAAATTGTCAGGGAACTTCCATTAACTATGTCACTTATTATATTATGTTATATTTGTTAATTATAAAATTTGCAATTCTTGTAAAAGTTTAAACCAAATTTGATTAGGTACATTCTTATAAAGATTTCTGCAATCATTTGTTAAAAATCTCTGAAGTTCTATTGTTAACACAATTGTTTTGTTAAAAGGAACAAATATCTGCTTATTTCAAATCTTAAAATATGCTTAAACAGTTTACTTTCTATAATATACCATCAGACTCCAAGATATATTAATGAATAAGAATAAAAAGGTAAGTGGACTCTTTAAAAATTACAGAAATAACCCTCTCTAAACTTTACTACCACAATAATTTTAATTTATTCAAGGGAAGAAAACTTACAGTTTCTAAATATCCCAAGTATCTTTAGGTTATATAATTTTCAGTTTTTTATTTGCTTTGAGTTTATTTGTTTTGATTTAGAATACTAATTATTCTCAAAAACATCTCAAAATGTAGCTAAATATTTGTTTGTTTTTAGGAACTTTCAGAAAATGAAGTGGTTGGATCTTATTTCTCTGTGAAGTCTCTCTTTTGGAGGGTAATGTCTAAATCCATTTTGTTAATATTCTTGATTTTTGGTTTTGGATAGCAATTTTGAAAGTTAAATGGCAATTTAGAGTTTTACTTTTTAAGATAGGCTTGCAGATAGACGAATTCATTTGCCTTCTTTATTATCTTCTAAGTCATCTATTATCTTACACTTTTACTTCTACACTTGTAAAAATTAAGAACTTAATTTGAACATATTTCTTTGAAGTCATTTTATGAAATCAAGTATATTCCAAATTCTGAAAAGCTAAAGTCCCAGGGACTCTCCAGGAATATAATGCCATCTAGAAGGTCCATTAAGGCTCTTTCATCCTCTCTTGTAAAATGAGATTAGAATTTTCTTCTCTATTTCTGTTTGAGAAAACTATTTACTTCTGTTAACAGTGATCTGTACTAGAAATCTATCCTAGAAATATACTAATCAGTGCTCTTTCTTTGAAAATAAATCCTGTAATTTAGAAAGCAGCAACTCTTTAGATTTAAATAAAGACAAAATGATGATTCATAGATGATTTGTTTTAAATGTCATTGCAATTTAACTGACTCTTTGATGACTAAAGCATAATGACCTTGTAATGACCATCCATTTTTTTCTCTGCTCTAATTCTGCATTATGCGTAACATGACTTATTACTAATGCACTTACTGCTTTACCTTTAAGAATGTTCCTCTTTCTTTGAAAATTCACACTTGGTATATGCTTAATGTAATAATAGATATTGCAATGAAAATGCTACACTCTTAGGCCTTAGGGATTTTCCTTTCTTGGCTCTCAACTGTTCATGATTGAAAACTTCCTTTTTTCCTTGAGAATTTTAATATTTGTTATAGTTTCTTTTAAGTAGACTGGCAGGTACCAGATTAAGTCATGTGTTGACCAGTGAGCAAGTATAAGCCACATTTATTCATCCTTAACAGCTTGTACACACACACACACACACACCTTTTTTTGCATACCCTTATTTTAATAATCATACCCTCTTATTTTAGTAATCATACCCTCTTCATTTCTACTATATGACTGCCTTCACTGAAGTTACTCTGTACTTTGCTGAAATAATTTCTCTTATATGTTCACGCATTATCCAGGAACACACAGGACGACTGCTTTTAAATTATTCCATGACTTTAAATGGATAATAGCTTTATTAAAAAATTGTTTCACTGGCTGGATGCTGTGGCTCACACCTGTAATCCTAACAGTTTGGGAGGCCAAGGCGGGTAGATCACCTAAAGTCAGGAGTTTGAGACTAGCCTGACCAACATGGTGAAAACCCATCTCTACTAAATACAAAAAATTAGCCAGGTATGGTAGCACATGCTTGTAATTCCAGCTACTCCAGAGGTTGAGGCAGGAGAATCACTTGAACCCAGGAGAATGAGGTTACAGTGAGCCAAGATTGTTCCATTGCACTTCAGTGTAGCAATAAAAGCAAAACCCTGTCTCAAAAAATATGTACATATATATTTTTTTTTACATGGCACTTTTCTTCTAGAGTAGAATTTGGGGGTGTTCTGGGTTGAGCTTGTTCTATATGCAGCAAATGTGCACACTGGTCATTGTGAATGAAGATCTGTGACCAGGACCAACTTCATAATTCATGCTTTTTCAAGGGTTTCCCTTTCAAGTGGCTCTCTCAAGATTTTCTTTGCTAATTCCAAGTTTTCCACTTACCAGTACTTTCCATTTGGTTGTGTTCATTCTCAAATATTCTTTAGTAACCTTTCTCAATCTCTTCAACTGTTTGATCCTAGAATAGCAAATGTGCAAGTTTAAAAATAAATAAGCTTTCTTGTATCCAAGGCTCAGTGGTAATGTCTTCTCTGGGCATATGATAATGAACAATTGACAAATTAACTGAGTCATAAAGGCAAAAACCTTTAGGGGTTATCTGTTCTACCAGTGTGGAAAATAAGGCCCATCAAATTGATGTCATTGCTTTGAGGTACCCAGATGGCATGACAAGAAACAATATTTTTCTCTCTCTGAATGCCATACAAATAAACATTTTGAAGAACTTAAAGCAGTAGAGTTGCTCTTTGAGCCTGTTATTTATTTCACATCTAGTGCTCAACTTACAACCACGATTGGTTCCAACAGACCGGTCGTAACACGATTTGGTCGTAAGTTGAGTAGGCTATATGTACAGTACAGTACTGTGAAATGACGTTATAAAAATATTTAAGTTATATTTTATCATAATTTTCTTTCATTATTATGTATCATAATTTTCTTTGTTCATTTTATGCCATTTGTATCATCTCTACACCATTTTGTTTCTTATTTTTACATTCGTCAGGTTTAAGTAAAACACTGCATTACCAGTACAACTGGTTTAATATTTGCAAAACATACAAAATTACAAAATACAGGTGCATATAAAAATACAAAATACAGGTGTAAAAAATACCATAGGAAACATTTTCCCAATTGCTTTGTTATAACTGTTATAACAATCGCATGGGTGCAGAACCTTTCACAGCTTCACGAATTCTTTCTTTATCTTTAAAAATCGTTAACACAGTTGAGTGTGATAACTTCGTATCACGTGTGATCACATTCACTTTATTTTCCTCCTTTGTACTGTTTAATTACCTTCATTTTCGTGTCGAGATCGATGGCCTTTCTTTCATTTTTCGCAGGCTGAGGCGTAGACAAAGACAATGTCCTCTTGGTAGGCATCTTGGGAGGGGTTTGGTGAAAAATATCCAAGACGCAAAACACAAATTGCTGTACCGAGTCTGGGATAACAGTTGAAATGGTGCATCCAACGGCCGGGCGCGGTGGCTCAAGCCTGTAATCCTAGCACTTTGGGAGGCTGAGGCGGGTGGATCACGAGGTCGAGAGATCGAGACCATCCTGGTCAACATGGTGAAACCCCGTCTCTACTAAAAATACAAAAAATTAGCTGGGCATGGTGGCACGTGCCTGTAATCCCAGCTACTCAGGAGGCTGAGGCAGGAGAATTGCCTGAACCCAGGAGGCGGAGGTTGCGGTGAGCCGAGATTGCGCCATTGCATTCCAGCCTGGGTAACAAGAGCTAAACTCCGTCTCAAAAAAAAAAAAAAAGAAAGAAAGAAAGAAAAGAAATGGTGCATGCAGAGATGGTAGTGCTGCCGGAAGCTGGTCCGCACTGTCGTACACCCAGCTGGGCCATGTCTGCGCTGCCAGACGCAGAGCAGTCGCAGCTAGCGATTGTGTTCATAAAGTCGAATGGTCATAAGTTGCATAGGTCGTAAGTCGATCAATACCTGTATTTTATTTTATTGAAACAGAGTCTTGCTCTGTTGCCCAGGCTGGATATACGTGATCTCAGCTCACTGCAACCTCCACCTCCCGGGTTCAAGTGATTCTCCTGCCTCAGCCTCCCAAGTAGGCACATGCCACCACACCCAGCTAATTTTTGTATTTTTAGGAGAGATGGGGTTTCACCATGTTGGCCAGGACGGTCTCCATCTCTTGACCTCGTGATCTGCCTGCCTCGGTCTCCCAAAGTTCTGGGATTACAGGTGTGAGCCACCATGCACAGCCTAGTCTGTTATTTTTAATTGACACCGTTTCAAATTCTTCTTGCATTATTTGACCCTTTTCTTCAGCATCTGTGTTAGCCACCAATGGATAGATGTGTTTAAAAGCCATGAGGTTGCTGTATCCAATGTGCCATTTACAAAATCAGAAAATTAGTGACCAAGTCTACTTTAGTTGAGTATTATCTGCATAGTCACATTCAAAGGTCACTCTGATAGCTAACTGACCCCATTGCTCTTTACCTAAGCAATATTGTTATTCTGATGAACTTTTAGAGGAGAGGTATATGAAAGGAGGTTACCCAGGACATTGTCAGATATGCAATATATCTAAATAGCTCAGATAAAATCTTGCATGAAGAGTATATATGTGTTTTGTGGGTTAAGCAGGATGTGATTTAAAATAAATTTCTATCAGGATTTGTAAAAATCAATACATGTGTCTAAGAGATAGCAACTGATTTACACTGAGCGAAACTACATCCTAGAAAAAATTGCTCAGCTGGAACATCAGTGCTTCTTGCTGTATCTTAATTTTCCCGAGAGCAAAATAATGGAAAGAAAAGACTGTGTGCAGGGATATTCTAATTTTCCAAAAGCATAACATTTTTTACTCATCAAAACACTATCTTAGGACAAAAAATATTAATCAGTGGATATGACAATTACCATGTTTCTCATGGAAACAATAAAAATTATGTGAAATAAGATTAAGTAAAAATTGTATTAAAGACTAACTTCCCACTTCAGGGTCATAACTTAGTACAGTGTTTCCAAATATTTAGCATGTTTAAGTTTCTTTATCTCTATGGAGTGGACTTACAGACTCTGACGAAAGAATTAATTGAACAAACCATCTTGCAAGAACATTGTAGTGAAACAAAGAGGAATTTAAATATTTTTTAAGTGGAAAAGGCTGGAAAATGCCAAGATACTTCATATAAAAATCAAGAAAAAGGTCATAATGGGCAAAGAAGAATACTTAGGAAAACAAAAAGCAATTGAGAAGTTATGTCAGAGTACTGCCTTCCTGTCAGGTCAAGCAAAAGTGTGGCTGAAGGAAGACTGAAGGCTAAAGAGAAGAGTTATTGACTTTTTAAAACAAGAGTGGGATACTGTCAAGCACTTACATACTGAGCAACTCAACCATAGATAACATCCTCCCAAGATGAGTTCAGGAGTTATTTCCCTTTTCAAGTATGATATTATTTATACTCAAAAATATGTGTAACTTTTAATTAAAAGTCTCAAAAAAAAAAAAAAAACAGGTCTCTGTAAGGCTAGCCCAAGACTATTATTTCTTTCCCATATTATTGCTAGAAATTTGTAGATTATTTAAGCAAGCTAAAAAGATTACAATATATATGATGAGTTTCTCCTCGTATTTCAAAAAAAAAAAAAAAAAAAAAAACTTTGTAAAAGCTTTAAAACTTTTGTTTGGCCACGATTAAAGTTAGAGAGGATAGTTAAAACATTTTAAGTAAACATAAAGAACTTCCTGACACCATAAATTGTATCAAGAAGCAATGGAAATACAAAAGAAAGTTTAAGGATAAAAACCAGGAGAATCTTGCTAAGGATTATGGTGCCAGTAAATCATCTTCTAAGAAAAAAGGGATCAAAGCTTTATTATAAGATGAGACACTTCAAACTGGGCTGGACAAAGCACTGGGAGGGTTTTCTGTAAAAGCAATCCTACCTTGAGAGGATGGATGGATGGCAGAACAAATGCACTTGTTGGACTTCATCATCCAAGTGCAATTCACTGGAATAAACTCAGCAGGAAAAGGAAAAGATAGAACGTGCCTGTGCCTGGGATTGAGCTAATTGCTCCGCACTCATCTTTGCAGCACAAAACAGTCATTCTAGGCTGTCATTATCTCTTCTTTGTAGTGTCTTCGGGATCATTTGATTAAATAAAAGCACATGCACCCCTGTGCTGAAAGTAGAAGAAAGAGCTGACTCCACACATGGCTTATTGTAAACACATAAGCGATGTCTTTCACTCCCTGTTTCAGTGTCTGGGTGTCATTTGGAAGGATTAGTTTGTACACAGGTAATAAAATCCAGGATAACAAAAGCCAAGGATTATTTGTATCTATCAGGACAGGGGATTGGTGTAACTGTGTTGCCTTAGTCTCATATTAAGTCTAGATAGATTTTTTTATTTTGATCTATTTTTAAATCAAGATCTAGAAAAATAAAATATCTCATTATTAGTGATCCAACTTTTCAAGTAAAGGAATTAGTAAACTTTTTACACTAGAACTGGAAATAGAAATGGTCCCAATTTATATGCTAGATTCTATGACTTCACCACTTTACTAGTAGACATAAAAGTGTAATTTTCTATAAAGTGAATAACATATGCTAGGGTTATTACCACCCACCTACTTTTACTTCCTCTAATCCCTTGATTAGCCTTTCTCCAACATCTATAACCAAGGATACATTTCATCTAAGTGACAGGCAAAGTATTTTGAAAACTCTTGTACCAATTAATTTCTTTTGTTGTTCCATGAATTTCTTAGACTCTGTCAAAAAGAAAAAGAAAAGAAGGAAATATAGGTGGGTCGGGGTTGGAAATCATGAATTAGGTCTCAGCAAGTCTAGCTTCAAATCTCAGCCTTGCCGGTCTCTAGTCATTTGGCTTTGAGTGGGGTACTTACCTTCTCCATGCCTCAATTTATTTACCTTAAAATAAGATGCCTGTCATGAAAAACCCCAGAGTATGAAAACTGCAGCATGATAATAGCTGCACAATAAATGTTCCTTACTTTCTGTGTGATTAGCCCACCTTTCAGACTGCCCTAATCCAGTCCTCTCTGTTGATGTTATTAAGGCTGGTGACTCTAATCTCATCATAATATTATTATTAAGAAACTTTCCTTAGCTGCTCCATAAGACCTGTAATACAAACTTTCAGTTCTACCATGATAATTTCTCTCCAAGAGTTCCTATTAAGCTATATCTTTCTTAATCCATCTCTGGCTGCTCTCGGTCTTGGTAGTGAAGGGATCTTTGGGTTACTTTTTCATAGCAAAGGCAAAAAAGGGAGGTGTCACATGGGACATTTTCCTGTTAGTTTAGAGATACTTCTTTAATCATTACAAAAAATTTACCTGTGAGAGTCAAGGTTAATGTGATCTTAGTTATTGCCTATTGATATCACATTTATTTTTCTGCAAGCTTATCACTATTTTAACATTTCAGAGCAGTAGATTTGGAAACAATTACTCTTTTCATGATTTCTCTTGCTCTGGTTATTTTCTCGGATATACCTATTAACAGAAACCTGAAACCGCTTAATTAGGCTCCATCATCATATAATCTCTGGGCTTCATTTCCTTGACCACTGCAGCATCATTCTATTAAAGAAAATCGTGGCTGGAAACATTAGAGTTGCATTGGCATTTATCTTCATTGTACCATAAGACACTTTCTGACAGTGACTTGGAAGCAAATACAAATTTTCTCAAATAATGTTTTCTGAAGACTAAACTGCTGATCAAAATGAGGGGTTGAGAATGGTACAAAGTTTTCCTGTACAGCTCTGATCATTCATTTCCATCCAGACGTGCAGCAGGCCAGCTCTTCCTGTCCTGGGCTTCTGCAGAGCAGAGCTTCAGAGTTCTTATTGCCAAAATGCGCAAGTAAGTTCAAACATTCAGTTGATTTATTTTTTTCTGAGCTTGCATGAGCTGTGATTTCTGAGGGCCAACTTACTGTACTGAAAACCCATTCACTATACTAATCGATTTTGTACATGTGAAATGGAATTGTAATCTTAAATTCTTTTTCAAGGAATAATATAACTAACACTTTCTTTAAATTGCCAGCTTATTAGTTCTAAAATCTTAGTAAATGTATGTGTTATAGACTAATTGCTTCAGACTGAAACCTGTATTATTATCTGGTGTCTTGATATTCTTTATTAATTATGAACTTGGATGAATATTCCTTATGAGAGTGAATTTGGATGTATGAGAATCACATGGGGCATATGTTGAAATACAGACATGGTTCTACTCCATAAGTACTGAATCACATCTCAGAGAATCACGCATTTCAGCAAATTGACTGCTAGAATTTGAGAACAACTACCTTACACGTTCAAAGATTATTCCTTCCTTTTAAGGACTTTGTTTTTGTTCTTCGTTTTGAAGAACCAGGTTGGTTTTTTCTTTTTATTCTTCCTGTTTTTTTTTTTTTTTTCTTGTCCCCAGCCCCCAAATAGAGTTCTAATTCAACAAGGACCCAGTAGGGAGCATTGCCTTAGAAAACTAATACCAGCTGCATTATGCAAATTTTATTGAGTGACATCTTCAATTTGTTTAATACTCCTTGCCCTTTCGGTGCTCAATAAGTGATTTTTGGCGGATGATTATCAATACTTCAATAAATAAGTGTTATTAAGATATATGTATGAGAAAAAATTAATAAAGGGAGAGAAGCACAACTTTTCATAATTGTTCAGTAGAGTCCTAGTTCTCTTTTTAAATAATCCAAATATCAAGACCAATATGCTTTCCTAATCAGTAAATTTAGCAGCAGGACGAAAGAAGGACTTTAAATAGCATAAATAATATCCTTGGTAATGTTTACAATTGTATTAACAGTAGTTATGAGAACATAGAGTAGCCAGTGCGCATGCCCCATATAACTTTCAAAGCAAGGATTCTTAAGCTTGAGTGTGTATCAGAATCACCTGGCAAACTGGTTAAACCAGCATGCCCAACTCCACTCCCAGAGTTTCTGATGCTGTTAGTCTGGATGGAGTCAGAGGATTTGAGTTTCTAACAAGTTCCCAGCTGACATTGATGCCACTGGTCTGTGGACCACGTTTGAGAGATTTGCTATACAGAGGAAGGAAACTTTTTAAACAGAGGAGCAAGTGATTCAGAAGGTACCTTGGAGAGCATCAGAATTTCATAGTTTGCAAAGTTTCTTCTTGCTGTGGTATTCTGCCCATCCCCAGCCCTTCAGTGAGCTCCCAGAACTTTGATTTTTTAAAAAAGTAAAAGTAATAAATGACTGTCTTAGGTAAGCTAAATCTTCATTGTTTATGGAGTGTATTTTTTTCTCTGTAAGCCCCTGAACACACAACCTCCCTCCACCCATAGATACACACAGAAGAGTGTTAGTAGTCTTGGGGCTCTGGAGTAGTCTTAAAAAATCAAAGAGAAGAAAACTGAGTCCCAGAGAAGGGGAAACTTGCCCAAGTCATATAGCCAGAAATTGCTAGGAAGATGTGAGTGAATACTTATGTTACATGCTTATCTTTTCTGCTATTGGTAGCCTATGTTTATATCTTCTACCTTTACCTGTAATTTTATTTCAAGTCTCACTTCTTCACGCTTTGGCTAAATATTTAACAGTTTCATGACTATGCACGTACTCAATAAAATCTATAGTTGAATTATGGAGTTTCTTTGTAGAGAAGTGTCATTTTGAACAAAAATTATTGAAGAAGAAAACATCATTAAAAAATATCTGATTAGAATTATCTTCGAAACCTTTTTTAAATTTCTTCTTCTTAGCCTTTTGTTCAGGCCACCGTAATTACCACATCCATTAGCCCTGTTTTTGTGAAAAAATGCTCTCCTTCTTCCTCTCACTTAGCTTCCCACATTGTTTTGGAAATGTTCTTCTGGGTTATAGAAAAGCATTTCACAGAAGCTCACAGGTATGAAGAGTGTGTAGGCAAAGTCCTGTGTTGCTATTAATAGGGCAGAGCCACCAAGCAAGCATTTCATACACTTGTTTTGGAAATGTTCTTCTGGGTTATAGAAAAGCATTTCACAGCAACTAGTGGAAGTAGGCAGTCTCTACTATGTTCATTTTATTTCTGTGAAAGCATAAAGGACTCCATGGAAAATGGGATCTTTTCTCCTCCTGTGAGCCTTACGTGAGAACATGAACTTGACTTACAGAGTGAAAATGGCTTTCTCCTCCTCACTCTGTAAGTCAAGTTCATGGTCTCATGTGAAAAAAAAAAAAAAAAATGAAAGGAGAAGCAAGCAAGGAAGCATTTTAGACATGGCACTACTAAAGAAACTCTTCATCTTGCTCATTGAAGCTGCGGTGCAACGTAGCTTGTACCCAACTACTATTTTACTGCTTCTAGAGATCACATAGAAAATGGCATTAAGTATTTTCTTCAACAAGCTGAAATATTATAAATATAAATACATGTGGTCATATAATAGAAAAGTAAAAGGTGGTTTCATGAATTAACCATGTTCTTGCCATTTAACTGGAGAGTACCCTTTGGAAACATTTTGTTTAAATCATGATTACCTTTAACCTACAAGGAATCTCTTCCCTAAACACTTGTATTGGAGAAGCTCAGGAATAAAGATTGGAAATATTTGGGTTTTAGTTACACATCTACCATTTATGTGCACAACCCCTCTGCATTCCGTCAGTAAAATTGGGCTAAGAAGCCTTGCCCTCTGACTTCATAGGGTTTTTGTGGGAACCAAATGTTATAATATAGATACGCATATTTTTAAATTATAAAGTTCTATATAAGTTGGCAGCTCTTACCTCCTTGGTCTTTGCTAAAAGAATTATTTCTTCTTACTTGCTACAACATTTTTTTCTTTGTTTCTTTCTTTGCTACTCATATTCCCTAACAAAACTTTCCAATCCAAAGTTTAAAACCTGGTTCTCTAGAGCAGGCGTCCCCAAACTTTTTATACAGGGGGCCAGTTCACTGTCCCTCAGACCGTTGGAGGGCCGCCACATACTGTGCTCCTCTCATTGACCACCAGTGAAAGAGGTGCCCCTTCCTGAAGTGCGGCGGGGGGCCAGATAAATGGCCTCAGGGGGCCGCATGCGGCTCGTGGGCCGTAGTTTGGGGACGCCTGCTCTAGAGTCTGCTGCTAGAGGCAGTTTCAACAGCAGCAGAAGTGGTTAAACAGTCACCAAAATCTACAGATGGATTATAGAACAATAAGTTGCATGAAATCTTAGAACTAAAACAAAGATCTTGGCCGTAACTGGGTGCAACAAATTGTAAACAATTACTTTCATCTGAGAAGTCCTCTGTTCAAACAATAGCCAATGTGGAAATCCAATATACTGAACAGACGGGAGCAGAGGGGCTCTAGCCAAAATGGGCATAGAGTTCTTCAGAACTTGCAGGTGCCCCTTGAGTTCTCCCTTACACTCAGAACACATATGAATGCTGCTCTTGAAGCTCACAGGGATGAAGAGTGTGTCAGCAAAGTCCTGCATTGATGTTAATAGGGCAGAGCCACCAAGCAAGATTCAAAATGTGCTGTGTTCAACAGGCAGGAATATATGCAGTGTGATTTTGAAAGATTTTCACTGAAATGTCCAAATATTAGAAGCATTATCTTTTGAAGAGTGTAGTTTTCATTTTCCTGATAGAAGCACTCAAAATGCATGACTTTTGATTATGATGATAAAAATACCTATGGTGTTGCTATAGTATAGAAAAAAGGTAGGAAGTCAGAGTGAGAGGAAAAGTTATACAAAATAAGCTGTAGCTTTATAACATTAATGTAGAAGAGATTAGTTAGAAAGTAGTGCGAATCCATAATTTAACAGTGTGCTTTGAGATTGAGAGGAACGTTGAATTTCTTCATGAAATGGCTGTATGTAGGAAAAACACGTTTGATAATATGAAAGAAGTCCTTTTTATAGTACTGCTTGATGCCGAATCCAGATTGAAAATGTTTTCACATTTAGTTACTTTCTATGGCTTGTTTTATGTCCTTTTTAGTTCAAAGAGATTATACAGCCATTTTTAGTAGACTTGCAAATTTTAATAATAGTCTAAGCCAGGCGTTGTGGTTCAAGCCTGTAATCTCAGCACTTTGGGGCACTGAGGCAGGCAGATCACTTGGGGCTAGGAGTTCGAAGCTTCAGTGAGCTGTGATCATACCATTGCACTCCAGCCTGGTCAACCAAGAAAGATGTCTCTAAAAACAAAACAAAACAAAGAAAATGAAAATAAAAAATAAAAATTAGATGGGTACAGTGGTGCATGCCTGTCATCCCAGCTACTTGTGAGGCTGAGACAGGAGGATCACTTGAGCCCAGGAGTTTGAGGTTACAGTCAGCTGTGACCACACCCCTGCACTCCAGCCTGGGTGAACAGCAAGACTCTGTTTCTAAAAAAAAAAAAAAAGAATAATAAAAGTCATTAAAGAAAATGTTCAGATACTCGAATGTAAAATAAATCCAGAAACATACTTGCCAATATAAATCACATATGTAACATTAAACATAATTATAAATATTTGTGATGAAAGTTTTAGGTATAAACAAGACATCTTAGATGGACATATTGATTTTGTTTTCTCTTTTGTGGTAACTAAAATTGTTCTTTAGCAATCTGAAGCTCAATAATCTCCTAATGTGTCAAGAAAAAATTTTTAAAGTATCTGAACAGAACTTGCAACTAATCTTACAATTAAAAACCACCTGTAAAATCTATCTATAACATAAAGATATCTTCAAAAACCATAAATATTTTAAAAATTAAATACCACAGCATGAATGAGGCCTTTAATAATTCTAACATTTATTTTATACATATTTTGACATAAGCCTATTTGGCACAGTTGCAAATATTTTCTGATATTCTTGATGTATCTATATCTTGTAATCTTAAGAATTGAAAAGCTAGACTATATTTTGAACACTCAACTCTTTTACACAACAAATTTATCATAAGATGATAATTTCATAATTTATTAAAATATTTATAATTAAATAACAATAATTATTTTTGATTTTTAAAAATTGTAGTTGCCTATCCTTTATTTTTTGAAGAATCTTAACAGCAGGAGAAAAGGTAATGCCAAAATGAGGTATTTGGGTTTAAATCACAATAACCTAACTCAATTTTCATTTCCCAAAAGTTTCAGACCCAAAGTGTACGCCTATCAGACCAACACAGAAAATCCCATCTTTGGAGAGGGATAGTCAGCATCACCTTGATTGAAGGGAGAGACCTTAAGGCCATGGATTCCAATGGGTTGAGTGACCCCTACGTGAAGTTCCGGCTTGGGCATCAGAAGTACAAGAGCAAGGTAACCGTATATCTGCTGTATTCCTGTCAATCTTTGTAAGGCATTGGTTGGTTAATAGCCATGCTTTAGGAGATGAAACCACTAGATAATTTTTTAAATGCTTAACAAACTTTTTTGAACATCATGTCAGAAAACAAGACCTATAATTGTATTGCATTTTTTAATTTATGTACTAGGTGATCTCACATAAACTACATGTCTATATCCCAGTTTCCTCATCTACAACATAGTAATAATGGTTGGAACTATCTCTTGGCATGGCTCTAAGGATTAAAACAACAACCACTCCGAAAACACAGTTGGTGCCTGGCACATAAAGTACTCAAAGAGTGTGGCTTTTTTTAGACAGAGTCTCACTCTGTCGCCAGGATGGAGTACAATGGCACAATCTTGACTCCCTGCAACCTCTGCCTCCTGGGTTCAAGCAATTCTCCTGCCTCAGCCTTCTGAGTAGCTGGGACTACAGGCACGTGCCACCATGCCCAGCTAATTTTTGTATTTTTAGTAGCGACGAGTTACACTATGTTGGCCAGGATGGTCTTGAACTGCTGATCTCATGATCCTCCCGCCTCAGCCTCCCAAGAATGTCCCTTTTAACATTATTACAACTTGGGCTAACATCAGTATTATAAATACCATTATATTACATGCCATAAAAATCTTTGTACATTACTCTTAGACACTTTATTCAACCTGATTTGTACCAATGCAAATAGCAAGTTTTAAAATGTATTAGAACAAGTTACATTGTCTCTCCATATCTTAGTTTTCCCATCTGTAAAAATGAGAATTAAAATAATGCCTACTTAGCAAAGTCGCTGAGATTAAATGAACATATGCATGTAAAGGGCTTAGAATACTGCCTTGCTCAATCAAAACTACATTGAGATACCATCTCACACCAGTTAGAATGGTGATCATTAAAAAATCTGGAGACAACAGATGCTGGAGAGGATATGGAGAAACAGGAACACTTTTACACTGTTGGTGGGAGTGTAAATTAGTTCAACCATTGTGGAAGACAGAGTGGCGATTCCTCAAGGACCTAGAAATAGATATTCCACTTGACCCAGCAATCCCATTACTGAGTATATATCCAAAGGATTATAAATTGTTCTACTATAAGGACCCATGCACACAAATGTTCACTGCAGCACTGTTTACAATAGCAAAGACCTAGAACCAACCCAAATGCTCATCGGTGATAGACTGGACAGGGAAAATGTGGCACATATACACCATGGAATATTATGCAGCCATAAAAAACGATGAGTTCGTGTCCTTTGTAGGGACATTGATGAACCTGGAAACCATCATTCTCAGCAAACTGACACAAGAACAGAAAATCAAATACCACATGTTCTCACTCATAGGGGGGTGTTGAGCAATGAGAATACATGGACACAGGGAGGGAAACATCACACACTGGGGTCTGTTTGGGGGAAATAGGGGAGGGACAGTAGGGGTTGGGGAGTTGGGGAGAGATAGCATGGGGAGAAATGCCAGATATAGATGAAGGGGAGGAAGGCAGCAACTCACACTGCCATGTGTGTACCTATGCAACAATCTTGCATGTTCTTCACATGTACCCCAAAACCTAAAATGCAATATAAAAAGAATACTGGCCGGGCGCGGTGGCTCAAGCCTGTAATCCCAGCACTTTGGGAGGCCGAGGCGGGTGGATCACGAGGTCAAGAGATCGAGACCATCCTGGTCAACATGGTGAAACCCCGTCTCTACTAAAAATACAAAAAAATTAGTTGGGCATGGTGGCACGTGCCTGTAATCCCAGCTACTCAGGAGGCTGAGGCAGGAGAATTGCCTGAACCCAGGAGGCGGAGGTTGTGGTGAGCCGAGATCGCGCCATTGCACTCCAGCCTGGGTAACAAGAGTGAAACTCCGTCTAAAAAAAAAAAAAGAATACTGCCTTGCTCATAAACAGTCAGCAAATGAAAATAGCAGAAGAAAAGGTAGAGTAACAATAGTAAGAAATATCTTGTATAGTATGAATTATATTAGTAGTAATGATATATTAATATTAGTGATGGAAGTAATAATAAGGGTCTAGTAGTCATAGCTACATTTTTGGCACATGTCTTATGTATTAGTCTGTTCTCACACTGCTATAAAGAACTACCTGAGACTGGATAATTTATGAAGAAAATAGGTTTAACTGGCTCACAGTTCTGCTAGCTGTACAGGAAGCATGACTGGGAGGCCTCAGGAAACTTAGAATCATGCCAGAAGGTAAAGTGGAATCAAGCATGTCTTACCATGGCAGAGCAAGAGAGAGTGAAAAGGGAAGTGCTACACACTGTTAAACAACCAGATGTTGTGAGAACGATTCACTATCACGCGAACAGCAAGGGGGAAGTCTGCCCCCCGTGATTCAATCACCTCCCACTAGGCCCCTCGTCCAACACTTGGGGATTACAGGAGGACGTGTGGTTTGGGTGGGGACACAGAACCAAACCAAATCATCTTATCTCTGTTGGAATGAACTGTGTCCTCTTTATTGGTCAGTTTTTACAGCTGTTATTCATACACAGCTTAGGACAACTGGTCATATCCATCTAGTATTAAAGATCACATTCCATTTATTCACCTTGGTGTTATACTTTCTATAGATTTTTGATAAACAGCCTGCTTAGGTCCCTTCCAGCCCAGGAAGTTTTCACTAGTACTTAAGGTAGTTCAACATATCACAGAGCCTGTCATTAGCGTGCAGTGAGTACTGCTAGCAGGTTGATTGGAGTGCCCACATGGAAAGCGAAGGCATTATTTCTGACCTCAAGAAAATCATATAGGGAAGGCAATCCTAAAAAAGAAAACTGAAAATTTCATCTGTTTAAGGCCAGATAAATAAAGACAGAGCACACCCCAAAATACTATAGGAGTTCATCTGAGCCTGATTATAAGACATTTAAATTATCATAGCATTCACTCAGTGCCATTTTTTTCTGCCATGGGGCTTAATAACATATATTAAAGTAGCTACTGATTCCAAAAATAGGTACCTATGACCACTTCTATCTTGTCCTTTCTTAGTACCATTTCCATGTTCTAGTAGGTTTAAAACATTACTTATTTTTATAGTTCTGCTCTTTAGGTATGAAATATGAAACCCAGCAATGGACATGTGTCTCTCTTTGCTCTTTCTTTCCTTGATCTATTGCTGATTAATTTCAGATTATGAACTTTAAAAATTGTGATTCATTTGCATTACCTTTGCATATAACATACTTCATTGCTTTCAAACTCTTTACATCTGAAGATCTGTCTGCCATACATTAAAAAGAGAAAAGGCCACTGCATGCCTTCCTGCTAAAAAGAAAGAACAAGGAAACAAATATGAATGTTGTTTAACCCAGTGGTGAATGGAATTTTAAAATTCTATTTTTATCAATACAGGTTTACTTTGTTCATTGATTGTACTGTACAAGATGACTTATCTGAATACTTGAAGTTACAGAATTACATTTCAGATATCTTTCTTGTATATGCAACACAAAGAGTATATCCACAAATATGTGTATGTACATACATATATGCTCATATATATGTGTATACATATGTATATACTCATATATATTCATTTATTAATTCAAAAACATTTTGGCGTATGGTTTTGGGGGAAGAGTCCTAACGCTTTAGTCAAAGACTTTGAATTAGTGTCCACATGCTAAAACATACTGACCTTAGGTGTGTCACTTAAACTCTAGGTCTCAGCTTATCCATATATAACATGAGGATACTCCATCAGTGCTGTACGTGTAAGATAAAAGTTTGCCTGACCACTCAAGAGCTACTTGCTTTTTCCTTCTGCTCTTACAGAACTTCATTGTCTGTTTTTCATGTACTTAAGTCAGGATTCCAATGTGTGTGGCAAGTACGAAAAGAAAAAAGAACTCTGGAAATCCCCATCCTCCTTTATTATGAGATGACTATGAGTTATATCTTAATGCATTAACTATGATTATATAAAATATTGCTAGTATCTGAGTGAGCTATTTCACTCATAGATTATCTTTTCTATATAATTTATATTTCTTCTCTGTTATTTAAGATAGTCAAAGAATGTCTTTTGATTTTCAGGACACATTCATTAAGGTCCATTCAGGTATTATGCAGTAAAGATGCTGGAGTTCTAATGAGCCATTCCCATTATTTCTGTAATCTTTTGTTCAAATAGCACACAGCATACTTCTAGATACTATAGTACTGAAAGTTCGATTTAATATCTCAGGTTGAAGTTTTTCTAAAAAAAGCTGCTAGCAATATGACAATAATGATGTTTTTTGCTTGTTTTCCAGATTATGCCAAAAACATTGAATCCTCAGTGGAGGGAACAATTTGATTTTCACCTTTATGAAGAAAGAGGAGGAATCATTGATATCACTGCCTGGGACAAAGATGCTGGGAAAAGGGATGATTTTATTGGCAGGTTTGTGCAATTGGTAATTTTTGGTTCACCCTAGAGAATTTTTGTTAAAAGAATATTTGCTTTAAGCTTGGTTATTGTAAATGATCTTTACTATTTTGAAGAATGGGACCTTACCTTGGTAAGGTAATGCTTGGATGAACTAAAAACTAGATTTAAAAACTGACCAGTAGGTGGCAGTTTTGACCAGTTGATGGACACAGGCTATCTGATTTTGATATCCATGAATTTTCTCCAGATGTCAAAGTTATGGGAGTTGAGAAAGAGGAATTTCATCTGATATAAAATACATAAAGGAACAAAGAGCATATTCATAGTCTGTAAAGTGATCTAAGATAACATTTATTTTTATAAAGCATACTGTCATCGTAAAATGCATTATTTTCTACAACTCCCTGCAAGGAAGAGAATCTTTATAATCTCTTTGGAGTTCATAAATCTTTAAAGAGTTCCCAAGTCTTAGTGAAGAAGGAAGCGTGTAAGTGAGACAGATCCTTGTTAATCTGATAACACAGTAAAGCAAGTATTATGAGGCTTATATGACATTTTTCCACAAAGTCAAGGTTATTTTGAGTGACTAATTGATCATATGCATTGTTTTCTTATTTTATAGCTTGTGTTTATATTTTTATAGTGATATATGTGTCTTTGTAGCAAAACACATTGAACCCCACCAATATTGAAATAAAGCATGGTGTACTGAAGAATTTGTTAATTTTTTATTTAAAAAAAAAATCTTTTCTCACTGTAGCTTACATAAAATTCCAAGTCTTTAAACATACAGCCTGAAAAAAAATTATACATACTAAGAGTAAAATTAATTATATTCTAGAAAAAGAATAGGAATCCAATCCAACATATTTATCTCTTCATTTTTTATGATGCAGATATATATATAATACATATATATATATAATTTTCTTCATAGGATTATAGAGTGAGTGCTCAAAGATGAGCTTCAGTTAACCTTTACTATTTTACTTGTAGAATGAACTTGGAAAACACTACCATAGGCCAGGTGCAGTAGCTCATGCCTGTAATCCCAGCACTTTGGGAGGCCAAGGTGGGCAGATCACAGGTCAGGAGTCTGATATCAGCCTGGTCAATATGGTGAAACCCTGTCTCTACTAAAAATACAAAAATTAGCTAGGCATGGTGGCAAGCACCTGTAATCCCAGCTACTTGGGAGGCTGAGGCAGGAGAATCCCTTGAACCCAGGAGGCAGAGGTTGCAGTGAGCCAAGATCGTGCCACTGCACCCCACCCTGGGCAGCAGAGTGAGACTCCATCTCAAAAAAGAAAAGAAAAGAAAATACCACCATAATCTAATACTACATTACATTTCAAGCCTTTTTAAAGCACAGGCCTTCATTGCATATTTTTTCCCTTAATTAAAACACTATTTTCAGAGTTTTCTTAAGATTTCTTAAGTTTTATCTTATTCTCTTTGAGATATACCACATCTGTTAATACATTAAATGCATTTCACTATAATTACATATCTGTGATTCTGTCTCCCTCAGTAGGCTATAAGCTCTTTTGAGAAGGTACTATATAGCTATTTCTTGAATGATTAGTTCATTTTCATTGGTTATAATAATATTATTTATATTGGGTGACCACAAGATAATCAGAATGATGGGCATATGTAACTTGCTACCTCAACCTCAATTCTTTGTATTCAGACTTTCTTATCTTGGTAAAATAATGAAGGAGACTATGCTCTAAGTATGCTGGCTTCCTGTATTTCCAGGTATATTTTACATTCCTTTGTATCCCTTCTTCTTCTATTGTTTGGTATAATAACAGAAGTTCTTTTACATATTTTTTTCCTTTGGTAAGAATTTTCCAATTTAAAAACTGTGAAAATTTCTCAGGCCAGTTGGGAGTGATCATTCCCTTTTCTTCACTTAACATTATGAGTTCTTCAAGGGCAGATGTGATTGACAGAGAGGCGGACCTAACTATCTCACTTCACTTTGTTTCTAAAGGTCTTTCTCATTTTGGCTAATTTTTGAGAGAACAGTGACAAATTGCTGGTTATAAGATCATAAGGATTGTTCTAGATAACTCTGGAAACTTGAAAAAGACAAGTCTACTTTCGATCATATGCCAAACTTAATTGCTTATGAAAGCAATTTAAGCCCAAAAGTTTGAGAGTGAAATGAGCACAGGTATAGACAAGAGAGCTCTTCAGTACTGGTTTAAACTGGTTTATACAATGAAAGGAATGAGTGTTGAATTTTGAGATACTGAAAGACAGACAATAAAAACATGTTGCACACTCCTAAATTAACAAGGTTGACTTTTGCAGAAAAGGGAAATAACTATGAAGCATCATCATTTCAAATCTTTTTGATATCCAGATAGCACTGAAAACTCTAGGTTTCTAACTTGACGCTTGCTAAATTGTACTTTAAAAGCATCCCACCACTGAAAAGCAACATACATACCTAAGTAGCAGGCAAGTTGTATTTCTTCAGTTCTTTGAAGCTTGAGTGGAAACAGTGGAGATAATACAGATTATAATAGAATTACTTAATTCCTGGAATAGTTTTCAAGACAATTGACTTACCTTCCAATTAAATTTGAGTACTCAGGGTCAAGTAACAGTAATAAAACTGTCATCATAATCTGTCTTCTTTTGCCAGTTCTCATTGCAACATTCTGTGTCTGTGTCAATTTAGAAAGTAGAGACTATCCTAGGAATTTGCTGGAGGTTTGTGAGTAAGTTTAAAGTTGGCCATGGAGGGTAATACTATTCTTTCCATGGCTAGTAATATTTTTTAAGGGTAATGTCTAAACTGAGTCCCAAATTTGAGAATGCTTGTATCGATTACATTATCTATATAGACTACTTTATTTTGCTATGGTTTATAATCGTCTATTTTATTTTCCATTTTTTAGTCATGTATAATGATTTTTTTAAAATGTGATTTGTAAATACAAACTCAATATTTTGAGTTTGTTTCATAATATTTAATAAAAAATAAGACTGGCTATGAGTGAAAGAGCCACTCGCAAATCTGGTGTCAAAGACTTAAAAGTATTCTCGTACTGAACATTACCCACTTCAGTTCTTTTTTTTTGTTTTTGTTTTTGAGACAAGGTCCCGATCTGTCACCCAGGCTGGAGTGCAGTGGCGCCATCTCAGCTCACTGCAACCTCCACCTCCTGGGCACAAGCAATCCTCCCATCTCAGCGTCCTGAGTAGCTGGGACCACAGGCATGCACCACCAAGCCCAGCTAATTTTTGTATTTTTGGTAGAGGCAAAGTTTTGCCATGCTGCCCATGCTAGTCTTAAACAACTGAGCTCAAACGATCTGCCTGCTTTGGCCTCACAAAGTGCTGGGATTAGCAGGTATGAGCCACCATGCCCGGCCCCCATTTCCATTCTTGCTTGAACTAATATAGTCAGGCATTTGCCCCCGACAATCCACCAAAACTGGTCCTGTCAATGTCCGCTAGGCACACCACATTGTTCAATTCAATGACCAGTTTTCAGCCTCATCTAACATTACCCAGCAGCAGTGCTGGATTTGGCTGACCCCTTCCTTACCTTGAAACACATTTTTCACTTGCCTTACAGGACACCACACACTCCTTCTTTTCTCTTTACCTCGTTGCATGCTCCTTCTTGTCCCCTTTGCAGGTTTTTCCTCATCCCTTCATGTTGTAATTCTGAGAAGCCTCGGAGCTCACTCTTTGGGCATCTTGTTCATTTATACTGGCTCCCCTGGTGACTTCATCCATTCATAAGAGTCCAGCTCCACTCCATAACTCTTCTCTTCACTCCGGATTCCTGTATTGCACTGCCTACTTGATCACCATTTGAAAGTCTAATAGATTTTGCCAATATAGCATGTGCTAAGCTAAACTTTTAACCCTCAGTCCCACACATCTGCTCTTCCTTCAGGCTTCTCTCTCGTTTGTTGCTAACATCAAAAATCTTGGAATTGTATTTGATTCCTTTCTTTCTCTCACTCTCATCAAATCAATCAACAATCTGATAGTGCTTCTTCAAAACATATTAAGGATTTATGGTGTCTCATCATCTCTATCATTATTGCTGTGGTTGCAGCCACCATCAGCTTTCATATGGACAAGAGCAAGAGCCTCCTGTTCTTCCTTCCATACTTCCGCTGCCACAACAGTCTGTTTCCAGTTAGCAGCCAAAGTAATATTTTTAAAACAAGAGTAAGGTAACTTAACTGTTCAAAATGCTTCAATTGTTTTGCATCATAATTTAGGGAAAACCAGAGTCCTTTCAGTGGCCTGTAAGACTGCGCAGTCTGGCCTTGCTGCCCCTCTACCCTGAACTTCTGCTGTGCTGCCTCTGCTGTCCTTCACTCACGTTCAGCCAGCTGCCTCTCTGCTGTGCCTCAAGCAGGCCAGACACCGCCCCCTGACTCCACCCAGGACCTTTCCCCCTGTCTGTCTAACTTTCTTCAGGGATCCACTCACCTGCCTTGCCTTCCTTCTTCAGATCTGTGCACAAATGTCTCATCAGGGAGGCATCCATACCAAGCCGATTTAAAACTGAACCCTCTTTTCTTGATGTTCCTTTCCCCTATTCTGCTGTTTTTCTCCATTAAAGGAAGCAGCATATGGCAAACTATGCATCTCATTTATTTATTTTCCCTCATTAGAATGTAAGCTCCATGAGGGGAGGGATTTTTTGAGTGTTTTCTTCACTGCAAGATCCTCAGTACCTAAACAGGTATCTGGCACACATTAAGCACTCAGTAAATATTCCCTGGATTTGAATATAAATCCCTGAAACTTGATTTAACACTGAAAGGTATGACTCTTTGTAAGACAAATGCTGATCTGACCCGAGGCATGAGTGGAAAGGCAATTAGAACAACACGACTTAGTGGAAGGTAAAAAAGTTTTAGTGTAATTGTGGAAAGATGATTGAATATAATGCAAAAGAGGAGAATGAATGAGTTAAAGTAGAAAATCTTTAAACTTCAGTAATCATAAATGGTCATGTTTGGGGG